ATTGGCACTGCCAAACACACACACCTAACGACCCGAGAGTGGACGCACCTAACTAAGCTGCTGACAAGGGTAATAACCCAACAGACATAATGCACAGGTGACCAACAGACCACCGCATCACACATCTAAAGCTATAGCCATTAATCCTAAAATGGGCCTGCGTGCCGCATGAAAGAAATTAAAAGCGAGATCTGCGTATCTCAAGTACTATAAATACCGCACCATACCGAAACCTGCGTGTTTCAAGTGCTCCCAGACCTGAAACATCTGAATTCTTACTATGATACTTCATACACTACATGAGGCCTGTGAGCCTCAATGGTAATTACTCTCTGTTGATCTTTCACCTGAAAATAAATAAAATTTATATTTACAAAAAAAAAGTAACCAAATGCTCAAAACCCGAATATTAAATTAGCTTCAGTAAAAGGGCACAAAAATGAGCCACTGTCCTGAAAAAAAAATATGGACAGATAAATGTTTTAAATATATATATATATATATCAGTACAGTAATACTTATGTGGCTCATACTTGCTCTATTTTGGATTGTCCTTTATGAATCATTTGCATGGATGAAATTCAGACAAGTTGAAATGTTGCTTCAATAAAATTGGTTTGCTGAAAATGTTTAATTTTACTTTTGTGGCTGAGTCAATTTAGTTGATAGATAGATATTATGTACATAGAGAGAAAGACAGACAATCAGATAGACGGGTCTATAAACAGACAGAAAGACAGACATTAAAAATATTGATATTGATTCAAGCATCACAAAAAAGTGGTCTCCTTTTTAAAAAACGTATTTATGTTGTCTCTTAGCCGTTAATGATAACCCATTTTGATAAAAAATCCTCTAATAAACTATTGGGTTAAGTGTATCCTGGTTCTTTCACGTGTGGGTATCTACCAAGCTCAAGTAATGTAGTGTCCCTCATTTAATCTTTTATTCTTATCCTTTAACACAGTACACGATAGGTGGGTAAGGAGCGAGTACCTGAGGTAGGGGGTGTCAACACAGAAATGTAATCATGTTTATACACGACAAAGTGGAAAAAGAACAGAGATAGCAAATCAACAAATTTAGCTTTTAATGAGATATAAAAACAATATATATTCAGAGTCTGTAAACTCCTGATAATTCTTGGATTCCTGGCTTTTTTCGGACCATCCTGTATAACCTTGCTGAGCCGAAGTATTTGGCGCTGTTTGGAGCACTCAGATGCCCATCTCAAAGTACTCTGAGCAGTATTCGGAAGTGAATTATAGCGAGTGATTATAACCTTTACCCCACACCAGTCGAGACTACATGTAGGGATTAAACAGAACTGACTTTACTGCAGCTGTGCAGAGGTAGACACACAGAGGGTCATTTGCACACAATAGGGTAATTATCGGCACACACAGTTAGCATTATTCCTTGTTTTTCTTGCTGTAAACCACCCTCAGCCCCAACAAAGCATACACACACTCAGCTCCATTTTATACACTCATTGAAAGTACACATATGCATTTAGAAGATTACTAAAGTACATGATGCATGAAAATACAATAATTCACCCAAAATACACACCCCAAAAACATATAAAAAAAACTTCTAACACAAACAACAACTTGATAACACAAAAATTGCGTATACACACTAACATCCACAAAGCTATACACATAGATTCACACAGTACTACATTCAAAAACAAGCATGAAATGACACTCAAATGCACAAATGCACAAAGACATACATGCATTCAGTTACACACAGACTGTATGATGCACTAAAGCAAACATTCATTTGTTTACACAGGAATGTGCACATGCTTGCAGACAAATATGCAGTTATATTTACACAGTGTGAAGTCAGTTACACGTATGTTTAAACACACACCAAATAGAAATATACACCATAGACAGATACACAACAATAAAGTCCTGAGTCCTGAGGCAAAGTGAATGGAAAAACCAAATACTTCCAATTTCACTGTGTGTGTGTAACATATTCTTCCTCACCTTGCGGTTCATCTGCATGACTAACACGGCTAATTATACCCCGACGTCGGCTCACGTGATTGACGACGTTGGCATGCACATGACGTCACGCACACGCCGCACGCGCACATTTTGGGGTCAAAGAGCGATCTCAGCCAATCAGAAAGGTAAAGCAGGTATTTAAACCTAAAATTACCTTTTCTCAGTGCCCTGTCGTGGTTTCCATAGTGGTTGTTTGAGAGCGCGTTCCTGATTTAAGTTTATTCTGTTTTTTGACTTTGGCTTTGATTTATTGTTGTGTTATTGTTGGCTTTATTGTTGTGTCCCTTTCTGTGTCCCCTGACCTCGGCTATTTTCCTGACTATTCTTTGGTACGTTAGTCTGGCCATTCTAAGGCCCGGTAATACATTACCTATTAGTCATCTGTATGACACAATACTACGTGCTGGATAATATAGAAATCCTAACAGTGTGTAATTTAAAGGTTTAAAGGAATTTACAAGGCCCTTACCCAGAGACCTAGGTGTACACTTGACTATACTTTATTAAAGAAACAAAATCATCTGTGACTATAACTATCAATGAGACAGTTGACATGCTTCACAACTCTTGCGATGTACTGGTTTAGTTCAATGAAAGTTCACTGACTCAAAGTTTGGAATCGTTTTGCTTGCAAAAACAAGTGAACAATTCTTCACGAATTTTCACCATGCTGAATGCATTCAGTCTACTAATTTCCAACTAGACACCGAATGCATCCAGCCAACTGGTGCAAATTCAGTAAGACCAAATTCTAACTGGAATTAGCTTTAATAAATATGACAATTTAGTAAAATCGTAATTTGGCCATTTCCACCAGAATTTCTTCACCAAGGCTTTTTATTTCTCTAAGGGAATAATTTTGCTATGAATAGGTTTATTATTGTCAAAAATAAAAATGTTACATTTTATTTCATGCTGCCCAATTAAAAAAAAATTATATAGACCTAAAGTCAGACTGTAAAAAGCATTCTATTTAAACGTGCGAGTTTAGAAAATTAACCTGTGAATATCTGAGTTTGTGTAGCATTTCTTACTAAAAGACTGCATATACAGGGTCATTGCACCATGACCACTTCAAACCACTGAAGTGGTCATGGTGCTTGTAATAACCATTTAATGGAAAAAAATGCACAGATCAATATTTATTAATCAAAATATGCACATATATTGATACAAATATGAACCCGATATACACAGAGTCGGTCGGCCCTTTGGACCGCTGTTACTATGGCTGTCCTTTTGACATCTGGTATAAAATAGAGGAAGATACTTTAAAATAGTTTTTTTATTTCTTTATATTTTTATTAAGGATATCCATCAATGGGTTCTTGTCTCTGATATAAATGGTTATTGTGGTGGTATCTAAGTATGTCATAATTGCATAGCGAGTTTGAGACTGAACATTCTTATGTAGTTATTGGGATTATAAAATTCATCAGATCTATGAGTGAAAATGTAATAATTCAATGGGGGATTTTTAATTTTTTTTTTTTTTTAAATATACTTTAACTCCTAAAAACCATTTGCACTGTTTCCTTAATGTATTACACCTGTGCTAAATGTCATGGTTAATACCCTTATGGTGATTTAGAATATTATTACAGATTGCATGCATCTATTGCTCTTTCATAGTACTGCATTTCTAGCCCGATATGTCAATTCTCAGTGTTACATCCTCATACACAGATCTTTTCATCATTTCACCAGTTCTCTCCAGCAAGGTACCACTGCCAGAAGTCTTGTCATGCATGGATGAGCTGTGAGTAACGAGAGTCTGTCAATCAATCTGCATGGTTAGCGGAAAAATGAATCTGCACTACTCCCATGAGAAACCGTTTAATATTAAAAAATGATGTGACATTATTGTTTATCGCTAATGTAGCAAGAAAAAAACAAAAAACATCTGGAATGGTTTAAAAGCAGTTTAATTATATTGACAATCATTTTAACGTGTTAGAGATCCCATGTAATAAATTATTAAAGGTTTAATACGATACGATTTATTGGAAACATTTCCCTGTTATGAAAAACTATGAGTAAATGACTACTGGTTTGTTGAAAAGAGAAGAAAAAATATTGTAATAATCTGTAAAATTCAATAATTAAATGTTCTATCAAGCATCTCATGACACGACTATCTAGTCATTATTGTATCTATACAAATGGCTTTATTGATTACATGCAGACTGAAAAGTATTGCATCAAATAAAGTGACTGGAAAAGAAATTACATTTTTGTTAACTTTTGTTAAAATTATGGACCTAAACCTTGATTTAATATTGCTACAGTTTTAAAAATATTTAGTATTTTTCGATGCATTTGTAAAATGATTTTTTTTTCAAAATATGAACATATCAAAAAACATACATAGAAAAATACATCAATATGTAAAAATAATATAAAAATATTGCAAAATTATTTAAAAAAAATATTATATCATAAAGTTTATCCAAAATATTAAATAATTCAAAAAGCTTAACACAATATTAAATTGAGGCCTTTAGTAGAAGACACTATCTCTTTCTATGCAATTTTTAATGATTTTGCTTCTGATCTATCCAATTATCTAGTTGTAGAAGAAACCAGAAATTAGGGTTTATTTTGGTCTGTAGAAAATCTATTGGGTTACCCATAAAGCTACACCAGGTTAAGCTACATTTGGATTACCATGGGAGAATGGTCCTGGTGAGATTCCACCAGGATTGGAAGATGATACAATGACTCCAAAGAGTTTACTGAAAATTAAAGAGGGGCATAAAATAATGTGTTTTTTTTGTTTGTTTTTTGGCAGAGCACCATTTTATTTCCTAAAGACAGCATGGAATGTGCATTATAAGTAAATATCCATCAATGGAGCCAGTTCTGTGTGTTCTGTATTAGAGGCAATCGTTTGCTAACATCTCAGTGACAGACAAAGGCAGAATCAGCTCTCCTAAATGATCATCGGTCTTCTTCCATGACTTATTAAAAATAGGTCATAACAGTTCCTTTTATGCCAACTTGCCAGGGTTCCATGGGAAGAAATCGTATTCTAATCCTGTCTGGTTCTAAGCTCAGCTCTTTCATCAGGAAATCAAACAACTTGGCACTGTGCTCCTTGTTCTGCTGTCTCCACCACTACAAGGGCTGGAACATTTAGCAGGACAAAGGGTGCAAATGATCCTACCATCAACATGGTCAGTCTACTTCTTATGACAACAAGCACTCTTTCACAAGGTTTGTCCAGGATGGAGGTGGCAGCTGAGCACAGGCTTTCAGTGAAGCCCTTGGGGAGGTCTTTCTAGGGGAAGCTAGTGTCTAGCTCCAGAAACAGCATGTCTACCTCTGATTGCAAGCTCAGCCAACAAGTGACCAATTTAATATATTTTAATATTGTGTCCTGCTAGTGTATTAGACAGATTGTTCTTAATTCCTGGTTCATAATCCAAAATTAGGTCCCGATTATATTTAATAGGAAACTCACTTTTCTGGAATTTTCACCAATAAATAAAATATTGCTTATTATAAACTTGCGTTAACTACTTTTCACGAGATACTCAAGTTTATTTTAAATTTATACTGAAGAGTTAGCAAATTACATTATAATTCAGTTCAGATAAGGCAAATCCAAACATTGCAGAAGAGGATGGAAAACATAAATAATGTTTAATTTCTCCTCGTCTCTGTATCCTTTCTTTATGCTTACTGTCATTTGTAAAAGATGGATCTTGAAAAGGACTAACAGTGTCAGGACTTATCTTTTCAGCTCCGTTCCGTCATTTCTGGTATGCGGAATCGTTCCCGTCCCCTCTCTGACGCGGCTCTCTCAAGCCTTATAGAGAGACCGCGCCAGATTCAAAATTGCTTAGTGATTTCTGGTTGTTACTTCGGCAATCACATTGCCGGCTAAGCTCTTCTCCGTTAATACTGTGTACCGAACCTTGGACTGTTTAAACGGATTCTTGCCTTCTCATCTCCCTTTGACCACGGACCGTGTATTGGATTTACCTGCTCTCTTTTTAATTATTGGAAACCGGACTGTTTGATGTTTAATCATCCTGCGGACTCAAACTAACCTGTCTTAGGAGGACAACTCCCAACAATCATAAGTATACAATTTGATACTATCTCTGAATTCTTACTTTGCTAATGAACTGTTACCTGCTTGCTAAAATCTGCTACTACTAAAATACTATTATAATTATTAATGCTTTATGTCTTCGAATAACAACCTGCAAAAGCCACACTGCCTTAAAGCTACAGTAACCTTATTAATTAAAGGATTCTCATTTCACTCTCTATAATACAAATAAGGAAATTTATAATCTGCAGTTGTGTTCCACATTTAAACCACTTGTGACAAAACAAACAGGATGTTGTCCCAGTTGGAGAATCAAAATTTGCAGATCATTTGTTAAAGTGCTCTAAACGTGATCTAAACTGTGATGGTTTTCTTAGCAGTACATTCCATCAGTTTTCACAGAAATACAATATCAGAAAAGGCTGCCAAATCGTATACATTCAAAAATGATGGTTAAGGCACAAAAAAAGGAACACGTGAAAAAAATTACAGTTTTAATAAATTGGTAAAAATATTCTCCAAAAATCTGATGTAAAAGTGTTGGCGACACTTTGATAAATCTTCCCCAGAATATTTATTTGATCATAGCTGTGTTTTTAGAGAAAACCTGTTATGATATTGAGTTACTAAACAGTATATATGTTAAAAAAAACTGTTTTATTTTAATTAAAAGTTTTATGTTTGCCTAATCAACTGTAATGAATTCCGGTGTGGAATCATTTTTTGTGCCAAGAAAATGCTTCACGTAATGTTTCTCGGTAATATACCATGATTTGATAATAACGATCTAATTGTGGGGTTCGATCTGTAGATAACATTTATACATGAACAGTTTGCAGTAATTAGATATTTCTGTGGACTCCAGGCGGTGGAAATTACAGTTTGGAGCCTAAATTCTAAACAAGGCATAATTACAAATGATTTAAATTATATGTCACGTTATTTTACTTGTGTAGAAAAAGAACAAAACAAAAATCAAAACAACTCCAAAAAAATCCAGCATATAATAATGCAGTAAAACATAGACGCTATCCAATAAAACATGTAGAAGCATTCATTTTCATGACCTTTGTATATATATCACTTTCAGTTTTCATCTATTTTCATTGTCAAGCCACTATACACTGATCAGCTACAATAGCGTTAAAACCAGCTGCCTAATATTGTGTAGGTCCAGTGGCGTACTAAGGGGGGGGGAGGGAAGGGGCAGAGGGGGCACTTTAACAGGGTCCGGGCCACTTACAGGAGTCTCCTTGCTCCAGCAGCAGTAGGTCCTCTGTTCTCGCGATCTGTTGCTAGAGGTGGATGAAAGGTGGACACTCATGGACCACTATGATGTGCCACTGGACCACCAGGGACCTATGCTGTGCCACTGGACCACCAGGGAATGTAGTGTGTGTCCCCCTCCCTGGACACAGGTAAGTGACAGGGAGGAGCGGCAGGTAAGAGACAGGGAGGGGGTACATAAGAGACAGGGAGAGGGGACAGGTGAGAGACAGGCGGGGGCAGATAAGAGATGGGCAGATAAGAGACAGGGAGGGGGCAGGTAAGAGTCAGAGAGGGGGTATGTAAGAGACAGGGAGGGGGGCAGATAAGAGATGGGGCAGATAAGAGACAGTAAGGGATGGGTAAGTAAGAGACAGGGAGGGGGGCAGGTAAAAGTCAGAGAGGGGAGGGACAGGTAAGAGTTAGAGAGGGGAGCAGGTAAGAGACAGGAAGAGGGGGGCAGGTAAGAGACGTGGGGGACAGGTTAGAGTCCGAGAGTGGGGGACAGGTAAGAGTCAGATAGGGAGGGCAGATAAGAGACAGGGAGGGGGCAGGTAAGAGACAGGGAGGGGAGACAGATCAGAGACGGGGTGGCAGGCAAGAGTCATGGAGGGGGGAACCCAAACAATACACAGCACTTATCCTACAGAACACACACACTGCATACACTATACACACACACACACACTGCATACACTATACACACACAGACACACACATATACATGTGTCTGTGTATCTGCATGTGTTTTGTATATGTGTATCTGTATTTGTCAGTGTGTGTATGTGTATCTGTGTGTCTGCGTATCTGTTTGTGTGTCTGTGTCTCTGTGTTGTATCGGTGTGTCTGTGTTTGTATTGGTGTGTCTCTGTTTGTACTGGGCTGTATGTGTTTGCATCGGTCTGTCTGTGCCTGTGTGTATCTCTGTGTGTCTGTAGGTGTGTGTGTTTGTTTCTATATGTGTGCTTGTATCTGTGTGTCTATCTGTATGTGTGTCAGTGTTTGTCTGTATCTGTGTATGACTGCGTCTCTATGTATCTGCATGTGTGTACCTATATATCTGTGTATCTGCATGTGTGCCAGTGTATGAATATGTGAGTGTATGTGTATATGCGCATACATCTCAGCATTTCACCTACACTACACACAGATACAACCTTGCATCCAAATGTCAACACTACATAAAAACACACCCCCATATTCAAAAACCACATTACAGAAAAATGCACTCCTGCATTCAAATGCCAACAATACATGCAGATACACCCATCCATTCACTCACACATAGTCCATATAAAAAAACATGCTCACATTCAGACACACAAACACTGCTCAGTGCTAAATACATTAAAAAAATTAGCAGGTGTTATTTATATTTTAAAGTTGGGGCGGAGTGGGGAATGGTTCCAGATATAGGATCCGTCCCGGGTGCCAAAGACTCCAGGTACATTCCTGTGTAGGTCCCCCTCTGGCTGCCAAAACAGCTCTAATGCATCAAGCTATGGACTCCACAAGCCCTCTGAATGTGTACTGTGGTATCTGGCACCAAGACATTAGCAGGAGATCCTTTTAAGTTCTGCAAGTTGCGAGGTGGAGCCTCCATGGATTGGATTTGTTGTTCCAGCACATCCCACAGATGTTTAATCGGATTGAGATCTGGGGAACTTGGAGGCCAAGGAAACACCTTGAACTCTTTGTCATGTTTCTCAAACCACTCCTGAAGAATTTTTACAGTGTGGCAGAATGCATTATTCTGCTGAAAGAGGCCACTATCATTGTAAGAATACATTTAATAAATCTGGTTTTTATGTAGATGTGTCCTTAGACTTTTCTCATAAACAAAAAAGCCCAAAACATTATTTTAGCATAAAAAGATCAAAATATATCAAAAGTATAAAAGGAACAAAATTATTTTGAAACTACATTTTAAGGAACATCTGGCCGCTGGCTGCTCTTCTGGATGCTGAGTAACAATTCCTATCACTGTGAGCCTGCCACTGACATTGCGGTTCGGTCCCTCTTGATTTTATAAATAGATGTTGGTTTTTCACTCTAGTATTGTGTTCTACAAATGTAAGAATAGATTTTAGTGATGCAAGCTGCCACACGGATATTGATGCCAATTAATATCGCCTGTGATGTGGAACATATTACCACAATGTAAAATATGTAACAATTGCCAAAAGCGTTTGTGCGTTAGTGCCAAAAATAACTCTTCATAAATGGCATAACTAATAGAGTGAGACTTTAGCAATATTTCATTTGCATGTTGTCGTGCTGTTAGTTATACTGATTAGTCATTGGGTGCAATTTCATGGCTGCTGTATTGTCTTGCACCCTTAATTATAATTGACACACAATTACGAAATCAATGGCAGAATGTAGATTATTCTATTTTAGATATATGATAGTCTCACCATTAATCATCTGTGTTTTGTCTGTCTGCCATTATAATTTGAAATATTAAATCTAGAATGGTGTGTACATGATATGCCCCCTTGTTTTTAACAACAGTAAGATAATCTCATGTGCTGACAACTGTACTCAAAAAGGACAACAACAAAAAATCATTTGCCTTCTATACTTTGCGTATCTACTATTGTCTTTTAGATGTTCCACTCCCATGGTCCATAGCTATCAACAGGACATCTGCATGTACAGTTGCAAGAAAAAGTATGTGAACCCTTTGGAATAATATGGATTTCTGCACAAATTGGTCATACAATGTGATCTGATCATCATCTAAGTCACAACAATAGACAATCACAGTCTGCTTAAACTAATAACACACAAAGAATGAAATGTTGCCATGTTTTTATTGAACACACCATGTAAACATTCACAGTGCAGGTGGAAAAAGTATGTGAACCCTTGGATTTAATAACTGGTTGAACCTCCTTTGGCAGCAATAACTTCAACCAAACGTTTCCTGTAGTTGCAGATCAGACGTGCTCAACGGTCAGGAGTAACTCTTGACCATTCCTCTTTACAGAACTGTTTCAGTTCAGCAA